CTTTATTTTAGAACTGCACATCAGAGGAGTGACTGGAAGAGTTAAAAGCACTGGGGGGGTGGGGGAAGATCCTTCATGGGCTGCAATGCCCAGTCACAGTGGAATGGAAGAATGACTCCCAGAGGAGGTACATCTGCTATTGAAAACTTGCTGTATCAAACTAAATATTACCTTTTTTCATTATATATCACTCTCTAATGAAGCTTTACTGCCAAGTATTTATATATACTGTTACATAGTAGTATAATTGTACAATATTGTTTGATGTTCCTTAATTTTTTTAAATTCTGGTGTATTTTTAATTTTAAAAGAAATAGAACCAGAATACTCTAGGTAAATCCCACAGTATTACAGAATAGAATAATATTTTTAACCTTTATTTCAGTTTTGCAAGATATTGACAAATTATTGATTTGAGATTACAGTCGTAAGGACTCTTTCATGTCTTAAGGACAGTACCTGGGATTTTGCAATGAGCAAATTTGACACATTTAAGTTATATAATTTATTCAATGTACCTCATATTACTGTTCCCCTGGAAAGTGTATGTTGAAATCATCTCAGACAGCACAAAGTATCTACAGCCTAATAGATTGCACATGGAAATATATTAAGGTTTGTAAAGTATTGATTCCTGCAAAGGAGTTTTTTTTCTTTTAATTACCTACACTTTGATAATTGAAATTTATAATATTTTTCAACCATTTTTGTATTTTTGAAGGGATTCTTTTTCTCTGATAAATTCATACAGATTGTGAGATAGACAAACTGCATCATAATTTTGCTATGCTTCATTTTGATTCAATCCAAAGAGACCTTGAATCAAAATGAAAAGCCAATAGTCAACTGCTTCACTGAAACATCTGGCAGAAGAATACAGCTGTATTTGTGCATGTTAATCTCCTTCATGTTACATAAGTAGAGGAAGTTTAATTTATGAACATATCAAGTTTTCTGACTCATTATGTGAAGTATATTGATATGACTTAAGAGTCATAGAGTTAAGAAGCATTTCACAACTTTGGAAAAACATGCAGCTCTTCTAAAACATGAACAAGGATCTGGACGGTCTTTTACATTTATTGTACTTTACATTAATAAACAGGAGAACAACTATTAAAACTCTCAGATTTTCTTTTTTCCCTATTTACGATTAAACAAATCATTATAATTACTTCTTTAAATTGAAACACACTAGATCACATTCATGGTATAGCTTGGCAAGAGTGTTTACTTTTGCCAATCTTGTCTATTGAAAAACATAAACATATTAAGATACAGGAATTTTATTTCTGATATCAGCAAAGTCAACAGTATTTTGTTTAAGGACTGTTTGAAGTGCTGTATCTATAATCAAGAGGCAATCATAAAAAATTTATGATATTTCAGGCTCATCTTGCTTCTTTCCTTCTAAAAGAGCTGACTTGTGTTCAATAAAGAATTTTTCATTGAAGGTGTAAGTGCATAAAGAAATGCTGGCCAGATCTGAATAACTCCTAGTTATTCTAGTTTATAACACCTGAGTGCTTGGTTCACATTGACCCTTTCCCAGTCATTCAATAGTCCTTTGCTCTTGCATGTGTAGTACTACTTTCTTTTGAAAACATTAACATATTTGAGTAATGCAAAGCTACACAAATATAGATTAATTTCTTTCTTCATTCATTAAGGCAGAAAAGGTTTATGCTCTCTCAAGTACAGAAATCAGACAGGAGATACTGAAAGTGGTGAAAGAGAGATTGGATTACAACCCTGGCAAAATGTGACAGAGAGTCAGAAGGAATGTAAATGTCTAAGCAAGAAGGAAAAGATCCTTCATTCACATATGAACTTTACCTTAGTGAGGGGGAAGAACCCTTGTGCCACATTTCTCTTTGACTAGAGTATGCTAATCTAAGGGAAAATTACAGCATATAGCATATATAAAATAAAAAGCATAAATCTACATTATAATTCTTTTCTGACTTCCCTAATGGATTGTTACCTTAAGTTCTATTTAAAATAAATGAGATCTGTAGATTTAATGACTTGACCTAGTGCCTAGTGTTGCCTCTCAGGATGCATCTCTTCAGCCATGCACTATGGTGAGAGAGAAGAAGAGGGTCTCAGACCTGGCCAATGGAAAGTATATTGCTTCATCTATGTAGTTATATTTCTCTTTCATACTCCATTACATTGGGAAGTTCACATACCCTACTTCTATATTGAAAATTTACATATAATGCTCAGTCTTCTAACAGGGTAAATTGAAAATAAAGATAATTCAGTATGTTTAAAACATCATTATGAAAACTCTGAAGTGTTGCTGGAACATTTTTTCATTTAGCAATTCATTAATAACAGAAGTATTGCAGACAGAGGGGAAAAGGAAAAAATAGTTCCATGGTGATGTTTTCAAATGCACGTAACATTTGGCATGTCATTCAGCTGCCATCAGGTAAATACAGATTTTCTATTTTGATATAATGGAACCAAGATCTCTCATGAACTGATGGTTTTGTGTTTTTTTACTGGAATCATAACATTTTCCAAAATAACAGAAGCCTCTGCAGTCCAGTAAATAATGTGTTTTTCAAAAGAAAGCTGAACTTAAAATCTGAATTCCTAAATGACTTAGTGTGAAATCACGTGGTAAAGAAAGAGACAAATGTCATTTGAGATCATAAGAAAATTCAAGGCACAAATGCCTGCTATTCACCACTGACTAGGGAAAAAGTCCAAAAATGCCAGCAGGCATGCCAGCCCTCTGTACAAAGCTAGAATCAACACCTGCTCTCATTACCTAAGATTAGTGTGATAGATGATTCTTTTGTAACTGTATGAAGTAGCAGAGAATAATATTAATAAGATGCAAGAACTGAAAGGTACTCTGCAGTATTTATCAGACTGAAGTATTTATGCTACAATCCTGTGAAAGAGGCCGCAGAGAGACAGAAAAATAATCATCAAGGAAATAATATTTAATCCAGATGCTGCCTAGCAGTGCTTCTCCTTAGATCTAAAAAAGACCTCACCTCGCTGTCACTGAACCTGGACTCTGCAGGTCCTTAGCAAAGCCACATAAGAAGGATTCTTGTAAGCACAACCCCTGTGTAAGAGGCTAACGCAGCTTTACCCCAAGTCATTATTCACTATAGGTGCAGATGCTGTGCTGCTCATGTCATGTTTTTGTGGTCTCTGTATGACCAGCCCTATAACTTCAAAAATAAAGTACTGGCACTGGAAGATAATTGCAATACAATGAAAACAGAGGGAGAAACTGTAGGGTCCGGTAACAGGTACCAAAGAGCTGACACAGTCACAATAAAGGGGAAAGAAGGAAGCATGAGTCATACTTACTACTTTTACCCATCCCCCAGTATCCTCTCCATAGGCACACTTGTTCAGGTGGAAGCAGTAGCTGCAAGGGGAAACAATTTATGTCAACTGCTGCAGAGTATATATTCTCTTGGGACAGTAGTTCTTACCTGCAAGAACAGATAATTGACTTCCACACCATCCGCTTTCTTAATGAGAAAAGAAGCAGAGCAGGAAAGTACAGGATGAAAAGCATGGACTGTACATAGAATAGCAGGGACCACAGAGAGAGAGAAAACCCAGAGCTTTCCCATATGAACCCCTCATATGCCTGTCTTTTCTTCCTGCACTAGAGGGATATGGCCGAATCAATGTCATAAGGCCAAAAACTTCAGGACCTTGAGAGAAAGAAAGATCCCTTAAAGGTGCAGTAGATATACTCAGTTACCACAGTACCAAACTTTTTCTTAAATTCTGAATAGCAAAATCTATCTTTATTTTTAAATCTAAATTCAAATATCAACAAAATATACTTGTGTGTTTAACGATTTAGAATCTAGCTATTTTAATACCAAAATAAAGCACATCCTACTTTCAAGGAGTTCTGACAGCAAGCATTAGTAAGCAGGTTAGTGGAATTCAGGGAGAAGATGGAATTTAACTATATTTTTAACTCAATCATACGTTAGTTTTCTTTGGATTCTCTTTACTAGTTTGTTCCAAAACTTTTTTATAGACTGCTTTATAAAGAATCCTTTGTGATATGTGAGATATTATTCTGTTTACTAACTAGAAGGACTTATATTTAGGTGATTTAGATGTGCACTTTACATTTAAGTAGTAAGGTATTGCTTCCACTTTGTACTATAACCCCTTACAGAACTATAGCTTGATAATGTAGATAAAAATAGAATATAATGAACTGTACAAAACCTTATATTTTTAACATTAGGAAAAAGATAAAAAGTCTTCCTTAACCTTAAAAATTATTATTTTTAGCAATAATTTTATATTAGGTGGAAATGAATTTATTTATACAGTTTCCAGCCCAAGCTGAGATGTTTAGTTGCAAAAGGTAGGTATACTTTATGTGCAACTTCTGCTTTCATTTGAGCTATCATAGGAATTAATCTAATCCAACGGAGCAGAATTTAGCATTAAACTGTGAAACTGCCGAATGAGCTATTAATTCTTACAGTGCCCCTGTGAGGTAGTAAAAGAACTTTATCCACATCTTGCTGTACAATCATAGGCTTATTTAAATGTGAACAATATCAGATCATCATGACTTTTTTCCTCTTTGAGACAGCTAAGAAAAATATAAATCACAAACTAAGCTACCTGTTAGTAAAAAAATGGGTACTCTATTTTGGAGTGGTTATGAAAAGGGTACCTTCAGGCAACATACAACACCTACCGTAGTTACTGAAATGCTACCAGTTTGGAAGGCTTGTGGAAGCTGGTTAAAATGCTAGAAGCAGTGGATTAAATGCCAGAAAAATGTTGGCTTGTCCTGTATTCTTGACATTCTTGAATATTACTGCACTTTTTAACTTTCATCTTTGTGAAATATGCAAGAAATGTTTCTTATGTTTGTATTTTAATGTATGACAGAGTGATGTTAACAGATGAAATGGATTAAAGTAGCTACTGATGTTCCATGAATGTGT